GCCACATAAACTTCAACCTACAGTCTGTCCTGCCTATGGGATGTGCTGGGGTAAGGGTGACAGAGAGGTTATGGGAGTGGCCAACCAATGACTGATCCAGCCTCAGACCCATGCCATGAGAGTGAGTCCACCCCTGACATTGGCTGGAGTGCTAGGACCCAGAGACTCGATGGCCCAGAGATCTACCTATAGATTTTATATTGATTCAGACACTTAAGAGTTATAAAAATGTCTCCTTATAAATGTATACTGTCCTATTTTTATATGATGTATACATTATTAGATACTAACATGAACTGTGCTTAAATGATTGTGTTGTACTGATCCATTCATAAAAGACTATGAAAACCAACTTGTTCTTTTATTATTATTTTATTTTATCATTATGTGAATATGAGTGTGTGTGTGAGAGAGAGACAAATATATATATATATATATATATATATATATATATATATATATATATATATATATGCAGAGAGAGAGGGGGGAGGGAGAGGGAGAGAGCACCTGAATGCAGGCATCTGTAGAGTTCAGAAAGTGTTGGATCACTCAGTCACTCAGTACTGAACTTACAGGTGGATGTGAGCTACCAGGTATTGATGCTGGGGAACAAACTTTGGTCCTCTGCAAGAATAGGAAGTGTTCTTAAGTGATGAGCCATTTCTCCATCCCCCTAAAAGACTACATACTTAGAAATACTTTACAAATGTTTAAATTTTTGTAGTAATTTTCTAAGTGGTACATTGTGTGTATATTTTTATATATCTATAATAAATATACTATCCCTGAAACCAAAAATACATAAATGTTTTAAAGAAAATTGCATAGTCAGAATTAAGCAATTGGTGGACTCTGTAGCTGAAAGTTTTTCTGTGTCCCGGCTGGCTGGCAGTCAGGACAAACCTCTCTCACCTGCCAGTCCTGCATCAGCTCAGACCTAAGTAAACATAGAGGCTTATGTTAATTAAAACTGCTTGGCCATTACCTCAGGCCAACTACTGACTAGCTCTTACATTTAAACTTGACCCATTTCTTTTCATCTATATGTCGCCATGTGTTCAATGGCTTTACCTGTGCGTCATTACATGCTGCTCCCTAGATGGCGGGCTAGCATCTCCTGACTCAGCCTTCCTCTTCCCAGAATTCTCTTTGTCTTTTTATCCTGCCTATACTTCCTGCCTGGCTACTAGCTAATCAGCTTTTTATTTATCAACCAATCAGAGCAACACATTCACAGCATACAGAACATCCCACAGCACCTCCCCTTTTCTGTTATTTAAAACAGGACCCCAAGAAAGACATAGGGATTGCCCAATGACAGAGAAATGGATGAGATCTACATGAACAACATGGACGTGAGTTGGGGTAATGAAGGGTGAGGGTCGAGAGAAAGAGAGCTTGGGGGAGCAGGAGATCCCAGCTGGATCAACAACAGAGAGGGAGAACAAGGAATAAAAGACCATGGTAAATGAAGAACACATGAGAATAGGAAGAAGCAAAGTGCTAGAGAGGTCCACAGAAATCCACAAAGATACCCCCACAATAGACTACTGGCAATGGTCGAGACACAGCCCGAACTGACCTACTCTGGTGATAGGATGGCCAAACACCCTAATTGTCATGCTGGAACCCCCATCCAATGATTGAGGGAACCAGATGCAGAGATCCATGGACAGGTCCCAGGTGGAGTCCAATTGGTGAGAAAGAGGAGGGTTTGTACGAGCGAGAATTGTTGAGACCAAGGTTGGATAAAGCACAGGGACAATAGCCAAGCGTATGGAAACACATGAACTATGAACCAATGGCTGAGGAGCCCCCAACTGGATCAGGCCCTCTGGATAAGTGAGACAATTGATTAGCTTGATCTGCTTGGGAGGCATCCAGGCAGTGGGATCAGGTCCTGTACTCAGTGCATGAGTTGGCTGTTTGAAACCTGGGGCTTATACACGGACACTTGGCTCAGCCTGGGAGGAGGGAACTGGACCTGCCTGGACTGAATCTACCAGGTTGAACTCAATCCTCAGGGGAGTCTTTGCCCTGGAGGAGATGGGAATGGGGGGTGGGCTGGAGGGAAGGCGAGGAGGGGAGGCCGGGAGGGGGTAGGACAGGGGAATCCATGGCTGATATGTAAAATTAAATTAAATTATAAAAGAAAAAAAATAAAATGTTACTGTAACAAAAAAAACCCTACATTTAAAAAAAAGGAAGGGTTTAACTTTAACATATAAATTATATATAACAAACAGTTATCAAGCAAGAATTACAGTTATAATATGTAGTCTATTTGTATTTGGCAAAATTAAAGAAAATATTCTATATATCATATATTTGTGAGTCTAGGGTTTAATATCTACCTTATCTCTTATCATAACCAAGGCAAACCATAATTATAACCATAACCATAATTATAACTATCTAGTCTTTAACTACATTAAAGACCCCAGAAGGATATAATGCTACCTAAGTAAATAGGAAGGGCATTGTAAGCAACTTCAAAAAATCTAGAATGACAGAAACAGCTGCCTGTCATTTGGACAGTTACCCAAAGTTCTTCTGCAATGTTGGGGCATCCATTTTTCAGCCTACAGGGCTAGAGTCTCTCAGTCATTTCTCTCTGCATCCTGGAGAATGTTTGGTAGTTTCCTCTGTGAAGCAGGAACCTGAAGGACCATCTCGACTTGCAAAGTTCAGTAGTCACCTTCCCATGGGTCCTGCATGTCCAGTCGACACAACGTTTTGTTAAGTAGTCCAGGCAAGAATAGTTTCTTGCCCAAATGGCTATTTTTGCCAAGAAGAAGATAAACTCCATATGGAGTGTCTTCGATGCCCATCTTTCTTTTTGAAGTAAATTGGTGCTACCAGGAGCAGACATGTCTCACTGTCCAGAAAGTCTAAGTTTTTAAAACATTTTCAATGCCATATTCTGTAAGTCTTTGAAGTGTTTGAAGATTACCTACCTAATTGAATTATATCTATGTATACCTAGAAAACTTAACATGACTATGAGTTTGACTATCATAGAAGACTAATTATTAATCTGTATTTCCTAATTATCCATCACAATCTAAATAAGATACATAAACATAATACCTTAAACAAGAGTATAAATATATATATAGTATAAAAAAATTTCTTCTAAATTTGTATCAATAAGCTAAAATCCATAACAATGTAAACCATTTTAAAACAAGTTTTTGCTCATTAAAAGTAGGTTCATTAATCTACCCTTTCACCCTATCACATTTATATTCTACATTTTCTATACCAGGACTCCCCATTGCTCTTCATTCCACCCATATAATATGGCCTGCCACATCACTGGTGAGCTACTCAGCAATAGACTGGGACATTTTTGTTGACACTATCAACTGGAACTTGGTTGCTTCATAATGTCAATCATCTTATTCCCATCCCACTTTCTTCCCATTCATTCTCACTTAATCTTACTAAATAATGGATGCTATTACAATATTTTCATAAGTATATATGTATATGTACTAAAGTACCTTAGTTCTATTCATCCTTCCACTACTCCCTCACATTCCCTCTCACATCTTCTTTGTCCCTTCCCTATTTTTAAATAATCTACTCCCATGCCTTTCTGTTGTTGTTAAATCTAGACTTCACATATGAAAGGAAACATGCTGTATTTGTCTTTTTAGCACTGGCTTGTTTTGCCTGAAAATCTGTTTCCTTATCTGTGAAATCCAGTTGTACTTGTCACTATAGTTATGTAAGTAACCATTATATAAAGAAATGAGATGTGACTGAGAAAGAACTATTTGCTTTGAGCATTTTATAAAGTCAATTCAAAATGTTTTAAATTGTATGTGAGATGATGACAAAATATTGTAAGAAGTTCAAACATTTATGTCTCCATGTTCCTTCACCAGTGTTAAGTTCTCACTCTAGTGAGATTCAAACTGGAAGTGTAAACAACGTGTTATGGTTATCGCTTGTATAAGAAAAAGAATGGAGGGGACTGAGTAGAAGGGTTAATCAGTAAAATATTTTCTGTATAAGCATGAGGATCTGAGTTTGGACCCCCCAGTGCCATGTAAAAAGGTAAGCCCAGTGGGCTCCTGTGATCTTCTAGTGCTGGAGGGACAGAAACAGGAGGAAGACTGGAACTGGCTAGCTAGCTCACAATGCCAAATCAGTTTGCTACAGGTTCAGTGAGAGATCCTGCCTCAAAAAGTAAATGAGGTGTAGATACATAAAGAAAGACTTTAACTTCTGGCATTCACACACACACAAACAGACATACACACACACACACACACACACACACACACACACACACACACACACACACACACATACATGCATGTGCATACACACATGCACACATGTGTGGACAGAGACAAACATACACGTGTATATAAACACAAATTCACATATGTGCACTAATACACACACACACACACACACACACACACACACACACACACACACACATCGTGCGCACACCAAGAAGAAAGAAAGAGAATGAGGTGCTTGATTCAGCAGTGGAACCCATGTTCTTGGCCACCTATACAAAGATTAATGAATAAGCATTTATATGTTTTAATTTCAAAAAAATGTTTAAGGTATATATTAACCACTTTTAAAACAATTGCCCTCCAGTTAAATAATGGTTACAAGTTCTAAGCAAAATAGAATAGAGTTCCTATGACAGCTTTTTTACACTGATGGCAGCATATCTATCATTTCATGGTACCTAGCTTACTGATTCTTATATTTGATCTTCAAAACGTCCTTCCTTTCTAAATCCTTTAATTACCAAAAAGGCACAGGTATCCACAAATTACAACACCCTCAAAAACATTTTCCTGGGTGTGTCATTCACACATGTTCAATAATCTCACTGTTCTAATTCTTGTCATGTTCAAGGTGAATTCACTACATGGTCAAATAATTACATTATCTCAATTTTGGGATTCTCAGGCAGAAAATAGCTTTATTGTCACAGTTTATTGTTTTATACATTTAAAAACTCAAATATTACTGTCTCCTGTGTGGTTTGTGATGAACATACAATATATAGTATTAGATTCATTCATTAAAAATGTTGAGTATTTTTATATAGTAGTGCTTCTGTGTATATAAAAAGCAAAACAAAAATGGTTATATAAAGAAGCTTGATCTGCCTATTGTCCTAGTTACAGGAAAAGTTTCTTTTAATCATTTTAAACCAAGAGGTAAGAAACAGGCTGTGTATAAAGAGACACGAAATCCCATAACATAGCTTTAAATATCCCTATCACATGAATGCATTCTTGACAAGAGAAAAATCAGTTGCTCTTCAATAGAGAGTCAAGAATAAATAAGAAAATCACAATGACAAGGGCAGCCTCGGGATGTAGGGGAAAGGTTATTGTTTTTGTTGAGAGACAATATTCTGAATAGTCTTCTTGGGTTTCTGCTAAAATCCCTGAGTTGAAACAAAGCCTGGGATCTTCTCTCACTGTGTGTCTTCACCAATGCACGGCTGCTGATGACAGCATTTGCTCATGAGCTTTCTCTGCAGGAGAGGCAAAGCCTTTGGGGAGAAGAATTTTCTATCAGAGTAGACATGCCATGGTAGATCTGTCAGAGAGAGTCAGGCTGGCCATTCTTCTCCCCAAGGGTAGTAAGAAAAGACACAATGTCAAAGAAAATGCTAACATTTTCATTGAAGGCATTTGGTGAATTAGTAAGTGCCCTAAGAAACCCAGATGGGAAAGAACATCCACTGGAATCTTTTGATTTAAAAATTCCACAGAGATACATTAAAAAGTCATCTATATTTCTTCCGATGATCCAGTAGTATAACTACATGGCTGACATTACATGATTTTGCACATGGTTCATTTTCATTCATCCATTTTACAAATATTTATCAGATTTCTACCACTCCAGTGCACAGTGATGGGCTCTAGGCGGTTGTGGTTGGGGAAACAGATATAAAGCTCTTTTACATATAGTGTGGAAAGCAAAAATGTGGCATCATATATAAGGAAGTGTTAAAGACACATATGCATAAAAATACAGCTCAAAGTTTTGCATCTTTTAATGTGTGTACCAATGTTGGTTAATGTATGGATAGCATGTAGGATTTTTGTTTAGAAATGGTATGATTTGATATTCTTAACATGAAAAGAACAAAGAGAAATCTTGTTCTAAAACCAAATCAAATATGCAAACCATCAACTTTAAGGCTGTTAGTATTGCTTCTGAGTGTATAGTAAAATATTCTGTAACTGCAAACATTAGTTACATGCAAAAGTGAATAGTATTCCTTTATAATGTTGAATATAACGAATGTGCAAAAGATTGGGAATATGAAAACTCTAAACATACACTGTGCAGAGTACATTGAATAATATTAATGATATACAGAGTAATAATGGTGTACTATTATTAGCAATGAGAATATGTTTTGTAGAACATTCCAATAAAGGAAATCCAGTAATATACCTACAGAAATATAAATAATGTCAGTTATGTTCAAGGCATCTCCATGTTGTATTTTTGTGAACATTGCCCGTAGGAGGCACGCTCATTAAGTTTGAAGCCTGATCCTGCATGACAGAACCTCGATTCATCCCACCCCATGTAAATACTCAAGAAGGCGATAATTTTATTTTGTGTTAGCTATTTGCACCTGTGAGGAGTCAGGCATGAAGCCAGAATCTCCAGACCAGCCAGGTTAGTGGTGTGTGTGTGTCCTTTAATGATAGTAGAGGAAGCTTCCCCCACCTGATTATATCCTTACTCTCTTTAGGTTGTATCATTCCACAGTATGCAAGGTCAGAGCTGCCTCCTAAATTCACTGTATTACCCCCTGCTTTGTGTAACTGTTCTCTTTTTTCAGACTCTGAATTTTGTCACCACTTGCCCTTGAAGTTTCATTTCACCCTGTCAATCACATCACTATCCCATTGTGACAGCTTGGAATACTATTACACTAGTTTCAGAAATAAAGAAACTGAGGCTCTGGACATTACATCTACTCATTCAAATTAAAGAGATTCTGCAAAACTCCTCTGTGTTCTGGAAAATTCCAACCTTGTAAGAGAGAATGGAGCCTGATTGAGAAATATATTGTACCCACATATGTGCAATTGTGGCACTGAATGTCAAGGCTGGGGTGGTCTTTCCATGTTATACATGAAAGTATCAATGTGGTATTATGCATGCCTATACAGCATGCATGTGAATAAGCTCAGTGATTTTGGTAGTCTATTTACTTTACTAACCTCACTAAGACTAATGGCAAACAAAGAGCTGTGACATCCACTGAACATTTATATCGCTACATTCCAAAATGCCTTCTGATGTAAGTTATTTCACTAAGGTGAAACTGTGATATTCAGTTTCATGGGAAGATACTATAAGAAGTATTTTGTGATGGTATTTCTAAGTGAAACTTACATTTAAGCCTGTGCACTTAGGTTAATCTATATGCCTTCCATAATGCAAGCGGGCCACTTCAGTGAGCTGAAGGCCTGACTGAAGCAAAAGTCTGACTCTAGCAACAGTCTAAGGCTTCTCAATCTTGCATGCTGGACTTCAGCTGTGACACCAGCTTATTCTTTGGCTCCAGAGTCTGTTAGTCTATCCTGCAGACTGTGAATGTGGCAGGCTAATTATGTTTTGAGCTAATCCATTAAAATAAATACCTTTCTCTATTTAAATAACCTCTGAATTCTGTTTTCTGGGTTTGGGGGTTCAGGAAATCCCAAGTCATTATTGGCATTACCTTTTTCGACTGTGCTTCACTGTGTATAATATTCAGTAGCGTGCAGTCCATCAAAATGGAGTAGAAAAAGCATGGGGTAGGAAAGTCAAGGGCCATGCACTCTACTTTTTATTGGATTTTATTCACGGCTTGATTCAGGGACTCATTTATCCAATACATGCTGGCATCTGTGCTAGCTGCAGGCACTATTCTAGGGGCTGATAAACTGTGGAATGGAGTGACAGCATTCTGGTTCTTGGCTTCTTCTCATTTATGTAGAGCAGGTAGTTGATGCATCACTAAAAAAAGCAAAACATAAAAATGAGCAAAGTACTTTCAGAAATCTCTAGAGCAAGAACATTTCTGTGCAAATGACTAATGAAAAGCATTTATTAGGGGCCTTCTATAGATTGGTCACAGACTTCTTGTCTTTAAAATAAGGGTGATGATATATCTTAAAAGAATTATTGTCAGGTTAGAAAGAGTGTGTGGTGCTTTGAAAGAAAATGCCCCCCAAAGAAAGTAGCACTCAAGAGGTGTGCCCTGTTGGATTAGGTGTGATCTTATTGGAGGAAGTGTGTCATGTGGAGGAGGGCTTTGAAGTCTTATATATGCTTAAGATACCACCCAGTGTCTCAGATCACTTCCTGTTGCCTGCAAGTCAAGAATGTAAGACACTTGGCTACTTCTCTAGCACCACATCTGCCTGCATACTACTATGTCACACCATGATGATAATGGACTAAGCCTCTGTAAATGTAAGCCGCCGCAATAAAATATTTTTCCTTTATAAGAGTTGCTATGGTCATGGTGTCTCTTCGCAACAATAGAAACCCTAATTAAGACACAGTGCTCATAAGGTCACATGTGGCACACATAGAAACTAAAAAGTTGTGGTTGGTAAGGAGGTACAACAGATGGAAGAACTAGATTAGGGTAGGTAAGGAGAGAGAAATCATGTACAAGAACATATGTACATAAAGAATGAACCAGGAAAACCAGGCAAATGTTCTCAGTTGAGACTCATGCATGAGAAGAGAGCCAAAATACATGGGACATGTAGAAAATGGCACAATAATCAACACCTGCACATTAATGATGGCATAACTTGTTTGCCTCTTTCTACTATTAGCCAAAGAAATACAACACACTTCTCCTTTTAACTTGGACATCTGGAAGTTTAGAATCAATAGCAAATCTTTGTCCCTGATGCTTTATCTTTGATATGAAAAATTTAATATTATGAATATTTGATTTTGAATGAGGTCTGTGGTAGTAGCAAATGAAGTTTGATGTTTCTCTATCCAAAACAGTGATTTCTTTTATTCTTCTCTCATATATTACACCCTGACTGTTTCGCCTCACTTCTCTTCTCCCAGTCCCTCCCCCCACATCCCCTCTTCCCAAGATCCGCTCCTCCTCTACTTCCCTTCATAAAGGGGCACGCCCCCTCAGGAATATCAACTACCATGGTATATCATGTTGCAATAAGAGTAGGCACCTCACCTCATATTAAGACTGGACAAGATAAACCAGTAGAAGAAAAGGGGTCCCCAAAGCAGACAAGAGTCAGAGACATCTCCTGCCCCCACCTCTAGGAGTCCCACCAGAACACCAAGTTACACAACTATAACATATGCAGAGGACCTAGGTCAGAACCATACTGGCTCCCTGATTATTGGTTCAGTCTCTGTGAGCCTCTATGAGCCCTGGTCAGTTGATTCTGTGAGTTGTAGGAGCCATAGGGGTCAAGGACAAAACAGTGACCTTATAACCTGTTCATACAGCAGGAATACAGGGAGACTGACAGCCTCCAAAGGCAGTGCTGTATGTCCAGATATGCCGAATGTATGCTGTGATATTTGCCCTGGCATCAACAAAATGCTTAGGATTGCAATCATTAGAAAATTTCTCTGATATCTTGATAGAGGGGAAGGGAGAAACCTGGTGCTAGGGAATTCCCAGGAATCCACAAGGATGACCCTAGATTAGACTACTAGCAATAGTGGTGAGAGTGCCTGAACTGGCCTACTCTGTAATCAAAATGGTGAATACCCTATCATAGAGCCTTCATCCAGTAACTGATGGAAGCAGATGAAGAGATCCATAGCCAAGCAAGAGGCTGAGCTCTGGGAGTCCAGGAGAAAAGAAGGAAGAGAGATTATATGAACAAGGGATGTCAAGATCATGATGAGGAAATCTACAGAGACAACTGAAGCAAGCTCATAGGAACTCATGAACTTTAGACCAACAGCTGTGGAACCTTCATGGAATCGGACTAGACACTCTGCAAGGAGACAGTTGTGTAGCTGGGTCTGTTTGAGGGGCCCCTAGCAGTGTGATCAGGATCCATCCCTGGTGCAATAGCTGGCTTCTTGGATCCCATTACCTATGGTTGAACACCTTGCTCACCCTTGATGCAGCGGGGAGGGCCTGGGTTCTGCCTCAACTGAATGTACCAGGCTTTCCTATCCCCCCATGGGAGAACTCATCCTTTTGGAGGAGGAGATGAGGGGTGGGTCGAGGGTGGGAGTAGGCATGGGGGGGACCCAAGGGGGAACAAGAGGAGGGATGAGAGAGGGATCTGTGGTTGGTATGTAAAATGAATAAAAAAATTTAATAAAAAAAGAAAAAATAAACTGTACTATTTTGATGATGGTTAAGAATTATAAAAAAAAATTCTCTATAAGCTAAGTATGTTTTTTTATTGAATATATATTTTTTCACACAATACATTCTGATTATGGTTTCCTCACCCCCTCCATTGCCAGTTCTTCCCCACCTCCTCTCTCATCTGGATCTACACCTTTTCTGTTTCTCCTTAGCAATCAAACAGGCATCTAAAGAAAAATAATGAAGGAAAGTAAAGCAAAAACAAAAAAATCAGGATAGGAAAAAAACAAACAAATAAGTAAAACAGAGAAAAAGCACAAGAAACACATATAGATGTAGAGACACACATTTGAATACACAGGAAATACACATATAATATATATTATATTGTGTCATATATAATATACAATGAAATATTTATATAAAGGACCTATAAGGTTAAAAAAAAAAGAATGTTCTGACACAACGTTATGAGACAAGGAACCTCCAAAGATGCCTTTGAGTTTGTTTTGTACTGGTCATCTAGTGGTGGGCATACGGCCTACCCTCAAGAGTGGTTTCTTTTCCCAGTTCGACTCCCTCGGAGAAAACTAATTTTTAATTTGCAAGTGGTTATCAGTTGAAGATGGTGTCTGGGTTAGTGATGTCGAATTGGATATACTTCTCTCAGCACCGGGGCCTCATGTGCAGCACACCCATAGAGACCCTGTGCATGCTGCCAGTCTAAGAGTTCGTACGCATCAGTCCTGCTGTGCTTAGAAGGCCTGGTGTCCTTGGTGTCCCCTTTGGCTCTTTCACTCTTTCTTCTTTAAGCATGTTTTCTTGTTTTTGTTTTTTAAAGAAGCTAAACTTCTTGAATGACCTTAAACTTAAAATGAGTTATACTCAACAGGTTATAAAAGATGCAGAAACTTTCCATTCTACCTAGGGAAACTTTGAAATTACAGTTTCTTGTCTCTTATGAAAATTTTCCTTCTGACTATCAGTGAGAAACAAAGGCACCAAGGTCAGATACAATTTCTGTCATATACTTCTTTCCCAACCATGACATTAATTACTAAGCATTTCAAAATTAGAAACTCCTAGTTAAGGTTGCAAGATATAATATATAAAACTGGAAATGTATGTATGTAATCATTCATACACATACAAAGCACATTTTAATTGTTTTAAAATATATATAAAAAATTTATTGTTTTACCCTATTAAAGTATACGTTTAAATCAAGTGTTTAAGTAATTCCTGTTATTCTGCAATCTACCTCAGAACTTTTTCTTCTTGCATAACTGCATATACATATTAAAAACAACCCTTATCACCCCTTTATTTCTAGAAACTGCCATTGTACTTACTTTTTCTATGAATTAGACTATCATGGGTGGTCAATCTGCATTGAGTCATACAGTATTTGTGTTTTTTGTAACTGTCTTTATTCACTTAGCATGTCCTCAAGGCTCAGCCATGTTTTAACATGCAATATGCATGTTTCTTTTTCAGGATGATAATACTCCATTGTGTTTGTACACCATATTATGTTTTAGCTTTTCATCCGTCCATAGACATATGGGCTACTTCTACCTCTTGGCTGTTGTTAATAGTGGTCCTATGGATATGGCATTGTAAATATTGCCTTGTTGTGTTGCTTTCAGTATTTTGGGATGTGTAACCAGAATTAGAATGGCTGGGCCATATGGTAATTTTATGGGTTTTTTTTCCCCCAATTGGAGGAGAGTCACTATCCTTTCTCACCAACAATCTAGTTTCATCACATTTTTCCACTCAGCAACTATCCTGAGGGTAATGAGGGAACCTATGATGGTTGTAGCTAGGATCAGTTAAATATTTGATGTGTATAAATTTTGTAATGTTCCTTAAGTTTTAAGCAAATTTGTGTGGACTTATTTTCTCTGATGACGGCAATTTGTTAGATGTACACACATTGAAACACGAAATCCTTGCAAAGAAATGATGACAAAAATAGACACCTCCAATGAAAGTCCCACACTATGATGTGTGCACACTTTTGGACTAATCTGCTTGGAAAGAGTTTCTAGAGAACTGGCTGGTGCCTCTAGCCAGGTGGAACTTATTAGGGGCTAATTACTACGTTCTTATCTGAAAATATCTGCACCTGCTACTCCCATGTGTTCTTCAGCAAAATGTCTGTTATAAAGTATATTAAGAAGAAAAGGCAATCATGCACAATGCTTGGGGTGACATTTATATTAAGCTTGAGCTAGATAGATCAAATACATCATTTTTAAAAATGAACATATCATTCAAATTGCTCACCCACCAGGGTAGACTGTTATACTCTAAATTTTAATCTCTTTGAGATCAAAGGGTATGATAGTTTATGACCACTCTACATATGCTCCATTCTGGTTTCATTCCGGCTGCTTATATTGAAGGGCTGTTTGTCAAATGCTGTGGGATGTTCTGTATGGCAAATGTGTTGCTCTGATCGGTCAATAAATAAATCACTGATTGGTCAGTGGCCAGGCAGGAAGTATAGGCAGGACAAGGAGGAGAATAAAGCTGGGAAGTGGAAGGCTGAGTCAGAGAGACACTGCCAGCCACCACGATGACAAACAGCATGTGAAGATGCCGGTAAGCCACGAGCCATGTGGCAAGGTATAGATTAATGGAAATGAATTAATTTAAGCTGTAAGAAAAGTTAGCAAGAAGCCTGCCATGGCCATACAGTTTGTAAGCAATATAAGTCTCTGTGTTTACTTGGTTGGGTCTGAGTGGCTGTGGGACTGGCAGGTGACAAAGATTTGTCCTGACTGTGGGCCAGGCAGGAAAACTCTAGCTATAGTCAAACGAATGAATGAGTGAAATTAATATTGCTGTGTACACCAAGACTCTAATGGAAAACATATACTCAAATTATGATGATTGGAGGAAAGTTAGTTTATCACAGATATAAGTAGAAAGCAAGGTGTCTGGAAAAGTCAAGTGACCAAATGGGAACCCAAGACACAGATGAAGGAAATAGAGGTTACCAGGATTCTGGAGGGAAAAGGAGACCCATTTTCACAGAGGAACAGTCTTCCTCCTATACCTTTCCTTGGCTCCACTTGCTAAAGCCTAAACCTAAAGACACAAGCTCTCTACTCTGCTGTTTGCTTTTTCTCAATAGCATGATGAAGATTTATCTGATATATAAACCTCACATATTTAAGGGATGCTGTTTGATGGGAACAATTCAATGGATTTAAACACACGTACATGCTAACGTGACCTCATCACAAAGAAGGTAACAAGTGTGTCTGTCACCTGTCCATTGACAGAGTGCATACACTACAGAAGAGTGGAAAGTGGATCTGGTTGGGTAGACAGGAGATAGCTGGCATTATCTTAGGCTACTGCACTGACCTAACCAGCTATCAGAGAGACAAAACACAGGTGTGACATGTACTCACATACACCAGCACATCCATCTACACATCACTCTTATACCCATTTTGGTTTGATTTTTTTTTTTTTAGTCATACATACAATTAAAAATATCCACTTTTAGAGTGAGACAAGAAACACACACACACATACACACACACACACACACACACACATACACACACACACACACTCCTTCCAGTGAAGGAGAAAGAAAGAGAAATCAGGAAGGAAAAAATGAAATATGGAAGGCTGAGAGAAAAATAAAAAAGCATATACATATGACAGATAAATGGATCAAGAAATGTCCAGGTATTAAAAAACAGGGTGGCCTGCAGAAAAATGGGAGAAGATGGAGGAAAGGGAGGCAGAGGGGAAGGAGGCAGCAAAGCTTTGTCCCTGGAATCAGACTGTAAGTGCACTAGTCATTGGGAGCTGCTCAAGCTGTAGACAAAGCTGCATGGTGTAATTTTTTTAAATGCTGAGTACAATTCTCAATAAAATATGTATTTCAGCTGAGAAAATTATCTGACTCTATGACTTGTTACAAATGTTCTTCATTTAATTTATAAATGAACAAAAGTATGTTCCATGGAACAAATATACATGTGTGTATTGCATTTAATTTAATTTTAATTCAAAAACTTGGAAGCAATTTTACCATGAAGAAAATGAAAAGAGAATTATTACTATCCATCACTCATAAATTGTTTTTATCTTCTGTAACATTCATTCCCTGTTTCCCACATTGTCTTATGTGACCCTGTATATGTATATAATCATTATCAGCAGATGTTTTCTGTATTGATACAACTATTGATACATACACTTTCACTTTTTTTTCTATTGAACATTATGTAAGTTTGAATACTACTGAGTTCTCCAATGGTCTTTGCACACATCTGCTATGCCTGATCCTGTGCCTTTGACAACTCTAGCCCGAGAGTCACATAGGAAAGGAACAGTGCATTGCTATGGCCATGAGTAATGGATGCAGGGTCCAGGTCTCTTCAGCCTCTTTTCTCTAACTTGAAAACTGCTTCCCTAACTGAAGATTTTAGTTGAAGAACAGAAAAACAGCAATGTGTCAGTAAAATTTCATTTGTATTCCACTTTTCTTTTTCTTAAAAACATAAAACTCAACAACAACAACAACAAACCCATGAAATTCTTTCCTGGTTATTTCACAAATGCTAGAAACCTATACAGAGTGATGTCATCATTTCAATGTGATAATGTATTTACAGATGTTGTTCTTACTTATGTCTGAAGCCAAATTCAATATGAACTATGTAGTTCATTCTATCATAAGTCACTATTGACTTTTTAAAAAATTTTCAGCTCATTGCAGAAACTAAGAAATGCCATAGGTTTACTAAACAGAATAACATAATGCTTCTATGTTGTGGGAATTCGATCCATTCAGCCAATGGTATTGGGTTGACTAGCCCTAGGGCGTGGTCTTGTCTAGATATGTGACCAGATAAGGACTGAGGAGGAGGGTCATGCTCTCTCTGGAACTTGGAAGGTTTCCTGATGCCATGGTTCAGTGAGCTGGTACGGAGCCTTCCCCATCCTTCCCTGGTGGATGAGGAGGCAGCGGTGCAGCTTCATTCTGTATTCATGAGTGTTGTTCCCATTTTATCTCTTAGTAAATTATTGACCAGACTTCTGTGGATTCTCACTTCACTTTTACTTGGGGATTACAGACAGTGACTTCAACAATGACCACCTCAAAGGCTCTAGAGTATGACACACAATACTAACTCATCAGAATACAGTTAAGAAAGACAATTCTTTGACAAAGGTACTCATGTTGCTAATACAGTCACATTGTAGCTAGATAATGCTGGTGAGTGGGTAGTGTAGACTCTCATTGTTAACCAAAATGAGTAAGTGTCTATGATATCAATAATGTTTTTGATAAAGAGAAGAGACTAGGGGCAATTAGTACAAATTAAAACAGAATAAAAGAAGGTAGGAAGATTCTGTAAGTCCCTATTAATACACATGCAACATTACTCTTTAATGAGATATTTCAAAGTTTCAAATTTCCAATGACTATGAACTTTATAAAGCATTTATTTACTTTATGTGTTGGGGGAGGGGTAAGTGTGCTTGTGCCATCTGTGTGGCTGTCAGAGGACAACTTGCTGGTGTTCATTCTGTTCTTCTATCATGTGTACCCTGAGGATTAAACTCAGGTCATCAGTCTTGGCAGAAAGTGTTATTATCTGCTGAGCCATCTTGCCAGCTGTATTAAGAACTTTTGTTTTTTTAAATATGTGAATGAAAGAGTCCAGACTCCAAAGTTAAACTCCCTTGTACATTAGGAGCTGCTTCTTGGAGAATGAAGGCTGCAATTCTGGAGCTTTAGTTGCCCTGGGATTCTAATGAGAGGGTGTTGAATTACCAGATCAGCATAGGTACCCCTAGGCACACTTGAACATACAGACTAAGCATCTCCTTGGATAGTTTTCAGAGCTGAATTCCACTCTTGCATAGTTTTGAGAGGACATTGTAATTATAGCATTCCTCCAGAATGTTTTGGAGCCTCTGAAACTTTGCAGGGGATTAGAATGGGCTTGAACACCAGCAGCTGTGACAGAGCCAGTTAAGTTTCTGGAGGTCTCTGAACACACGTTTGCAGAGTTGCTGAAAGAGTTTGTGAGCTGATGCCTGATGTCTCACTTTCAATTTATTTCTAGATCAGTTCAGAATCCTGTGAGAAAGAGCTCCCTCACCTGCCTCAGCGTCGGTAATGCCACAGTGCGGTTTCTAGCTTCAGGCTTCCAAAGTGTTTGATTTGATGACACTGAGTTGGCACTTCAGATTGCCTGGAACTTTCTGTATTTACAGTCTTCATCTGACAATCTGAGATCTGTGTATAAATAAATTCACAATTGAACATCCATTATAAATTTCATGTTTAAACAAAATGTGTAACTTGCACACTGGCTAAGATTTTCTTCAGAAAAAAATTATTATTTTACATTAACTTTGGGTATGAGTAGAAATCTGTGCAGTTGTTAATTTATGTGCACTTTCAGTTATGAGCTCATTAAGAGAAAATTGTGACAGTTAATCAGCATGTAAATGATATGTTTCTATATCATTTAGAATGCATTTTGACATATGTAAGAATACTAAATATCAAAATTTAAGGCATTAGTCTTGCAATGAAAAAAATACATACTACAGGCCAGGCGGTGGTGGCACACGACTTTAATCCCAGCACTCGGAAGGCAGAGCCAGGCGGATCTCTGTGAGTTCGAGGCCAGCCTGGACTACCAAGTGAGTTCCAGGAAAAGGTGCAAAGCTACACAGAGAAACCCTGTCTCGAAAAACCAAAAAAAAAAAAAAAAAAAAAAAAAAAAACATACTACAGAGAAAAGCTGTCTTACTCACAGAAACACTGAAATAAAAATTTAATTAATAGTTACCAGATTAATACATTTTTCTTGTTGGTAACAGGTGCAACATGAACTCAGTCCTCACTCTTGTACTTCAACCTCACCTGTCACCTCTATTCGCAAGATGCTGGTATGTTATTCATTTCAGTAACTAAAGATTTTAGACATGCATTCAGAATTAAAACGAGTCTGCTTAAATGACAATCCTGAATTTTCTCTTCATAAATGTTAAAATGTACTACAGTTTCTGAATGCCAAAAGGGAAGTTCATATTACCTTTGTTAGGAACTTCACAAGGTTCCTAAAGAAGAAAACGAGTTGTGAATAAGCCTGAGATAAAAGGTAAGTGTATAGGTAATGGAAGGAATTTTCAGTTGTATCCATCAGTTGGGCTTTTTAATTCCCATCACTCCTTTGGGAGATCCTGAAAGTAATGTGAATTAGCATCGCCTCAGAAGCCCAATTAGGCATTATGCTAATTGTCTCACATCCATTATCCTCTTTAAATCTCAGTATTTCTAGAAAATGTGACAAACTGAGGTTAAGAGAGTGAACCTGGTCAACCTCAAAGTGCCTGAAAGTAGAGAGCCCTGTTTGTAAACCAGGTGGGGCTCCAGACCCCATGGGAAGAAACACTATGTGAAACCTGTTTCAGAGGGAATCATTCACTTTCTTTTCACACTTGCTTTCTTCACACTTCCTTGCCATTTTCTTGGAAGATTAATGGTTTATGAGTGTGATGTTGCACTTTACGGTAGCACCCACAAGCACTCCCTCTCTACAATAATGACTTCCTTAAGGACAAATACTATCTTGATATTACAAATAATGAAAATTCAAAAGGGAGGAGGGGTAACCTGAAACTGGGTGTGCCGAAACAAGATCTCTGAGGTGGAGCCAGCTCTACAATATCAAGGCCAACCATAGCTATACGTGAGCTCCTGTCTCATAACACAAATGAAGAAAAAGAAGGAGGAAAGAAAAGTGATCTGGGCAGAGAATAATTTAACAAGTGATAGGGCTTCAGTGAGCTACTGCAGTGTGAAGTAGAGAATGGAATTGCAATGAGAAAATACAGCATGCATGTTACAGAAATGTAGCTATGAAGTAGGGAAAAATGAAAATAGACAAAGAGAAGAGAATGTACAGAGAAAAAATCAGAGGGAAATGAAAGAAAAGAAACTAAAATGTGGTTAGACTCTTCCAGGAAGTAGATATTTTTATACAGGACACTCTGTGTAAGCTTCACATTAACTGATCCAAACGTTTCATAGAATACTGTCTCTCATTTTTATAAATTAGAATGGCAAGCACATTTCAGATAACATTTAGCTGACAGAAGAGCCCAAACTAGAAGCAACATCTTGTGATTGCTGGCTGCCACATATTTAAGCTTAGATGGGAAAGGAGAAAATAGAGATAGATATTTAGATTACTCTGAAGAGATGTCATTTGTTTGCTAAATTAGAAATACTCTTTATGATGCTTCTGGTTACAATATCTCACATATTTGTTGAATTAAATAGAAAATATTTTCTAAATTTTCCCGCTGTACAGTGCACTCATTTTAATAGGCTAATATTTGTGTTTTGCTTGCAAATTAGAAGACACTTTTGTGTATTTGATAATGACCTCTTCTGTTTCTGTTCATTTTACCATATAAAGAAGCCTTATTAGTAGGGCCTGCTAGACATTGTAACATCCCTGTCTGAATCTTTGTGATCCAAAAGAAGAGGAAGGGGATAAATTAGTTTGTACATTTATTTAACCAGCCTAAAGAGAAGACAGCTAGAGAAAGTGAGGGAGTGAACATGTTTTCTTTGGAAGTGCATTTTCTTTCATTGTAGCCAGAAATTAATTAGGATGAAGTTGTGTGCACACACATGTGCATATATGTGTACGTACAATCAAATATGAGTATATCTTATTTATTGTTCCATTTGTAGTACTGTATTAATGTAAGCACTTAATTGTAAACCAAGATCTTCATGTTCCTTCAGATAAATGATCCTAATGTTTCTGTCTGATTTACAGTTATGTCCCACATAATTAAATATGGCATATGAAAATACTTACTATGGCTTTGGTCCCAGATAAGATCCTAGATTATCCATGCACACATCACCAAAGATTTTTTTTTAAGAATAGTGTTTCATTGGTATAAGAAAATACCTAGGATAATGAACACAAAAAGTGAATTTGGGCTCCCAGTGGTTGGGGTCCAATCCGTAATCAACTTGTTCTGTTGATTTGAGTCTGTGGTGTTGAGTCACATCCTGGCAGGAATGCTTGGCAGAGTGGAAATTGCTTACATCATGATCTAGGGAACAGAAGAAGGCGACCAAGGTCCCACAGTCTTTTGCTATAAGAAGATGCTTATGGCCCCTTCTTGGGGTCACAGAGCCAGATACCTGCCTGTGGCTGTAACTAGTTAGAAGATTTTATATCCTGCGATGATGGAATAAAGTTGCTTCTACTCATCTAACTTTGGTGGCCTCATCCTCAATATTTGTGTAACGCCCAGACCAACACAGTCTCTCAATAGCATCATCATGGGATCATGGCTTTAACACACTGGCATTTGAGAAACGCTGATGATGCCAAGTACAGCAATAGCATTCCTCCCCTGACATGCTTGCTATGAGGTGCCAGATCACGTCTGCCCTTCCTTCATTTTTCTTCTGTTTGCTCCAGATGCAGTAGGAATTTCAGTGCTTCTGAAAAATACTGTCACTAGTCCTTATATAACTGTACTGGTGAAGGGGTTCTTCCTTTTCATGTGATTTTGGCAGGATAGATGTTGAGTAATTCACTGGAAATCTACAAGAAAGAAATCAGATGGATGTTGATGTTATCAGCATAAATCTAAGTGACTTTTGGAGGTCCATCTTCATGTATCTTCAAGAATCAAAATCTAATTCTTTCAAAACTAAGAACTACTTGTGAGAAATCATCTCAATTACCTTTTACACATTTGCAAACACAGAACATATACATACCAAAATGCTCCTGAGTGTGCACTTTGTCAATGCTAGAATCAGACTGTGCACTGGGAACTCCACTGCTGTCGCACAAGCACTCTGAGATTTCTGTCTTCCTGCACTGTAAATTTAACTGAAAACTGTCTGAACTTCTTGTTCAAGGATCTCAGTGTAGTGGGTTCTCAGTACCTCTGACTGATTCTAAAGAAGAGTAGGAAAACTGGTCTTTGGCTATTTATTAAAATTACATTCCCTTCAAGATATCTTGTTTTTTAAATCTTCTTAAAATTTTTCAGGAGAAAGTCAAATGCCATTTAAAAAAAAAAACTGAACTGTTACAAGCAAACATTGACAATGAAGGTTGATTTCCTCGATCACGGAACATTGCTCTTGCTATCTTTGCACCTTGTTCTAAGTTAGTAAGAAAGAAACATAGAGGCTCCCTGTGGGCGGGAATTAGCATGTGCCAAAGGGCTGGAAATCATTTCCTCAGAGTCCTGCATCTCCAGCCTCCCAACTAAACAAGAGACAAAGACATACCTGATTGTACTGTGTGTGCTTCCTTCCTTTCTCAGGCTTCTAGCTCATCTCTCCTGTGAGCTTGCTTCCTTCCTAATTTTCTGGTCCATGTTTCTATATCGTTTTTTGATTTTTTTTTCTCCCCTGCAGGTAATCTCTTGGTGTTTTAAGCATCTTCATTGTTTGTTGTCTTCCGGATGTCTCTTTCTAACTGTATCTGACATTTGCCATTTTTTTGTCCCCAATATTATCTGCCATTCTACTTCCAATTTCATTTTCACTTCTTGAACAACGCATAACAATTGTACATGTCTCTCATATAAACCATGATAATTTAGTTCACTTCTGCAAAATGTAATGATCAAATCAAGATAACTAGCAGCTGTAGACGTTTATAATTTCATGTTTGGGGCCTTTGGACTCCTTTCATCTACTTCTGCATAAAGAAAAGATGAGTTGTCATAAACTATCATCACCACACTGTACTGTGGCACACATTTCCCTTTACAGAATCCTGGTCACCTATTATCCGACTTTCCTCTGTACTCATTCTCTTTAGTTTTGCATTTTGGAGCAGAGCAACTTATCTATTGCAAATGATAGCAACTTTTTCTTCATTGTAGTATAAAATGTAGTCTCACTCAGAGGCACACATCACGCTTCTTTAGCACAGGTTGTATTTGCTAGATTTATGCCAACTGAACATAAACTAGGGTTACCTAGGAAGACGGTGGTCTTAAATTGAGAAAATTATTTCACAGGAATGGCCTGTAGGCAGTCTCTGGGGCATTTTCTTGATTGAAGATTGATGTGGGATGGCCCAACTTACTGTGGGTGGTACTACCCTTGTTTAATTAACCCTGGGTAATAAGAAAGCATGTTGAGCAAGCCATGAGTGAGCAAGCTCATAGGAAGCACTCTTCTATAGCCTCTGCATCTGTTCCTGCCTCCAAGTTTCTGCCATGAGCTCCTGCCCAAACTTCCTTGGATATTGAACTATGATGTGAAAGTGTAAACAAAATAGTCCCTTTCCTCCCCAAACTGTTTAGTGTTATGGTATTTATAAAAGCAATAAAAACCCTAACTAAGACAGCAGGGCAGCCTTCTCTTTTATCACTGTTGCCTTAGTCATACCTCTAAGATTATCTAAGACTAGGTTTTGCCTCATCCTGTATGACTTCAGTATTCTAGGTGACACTCCTCACTCCTACTGCTCCCAGAAACTTTTAAACCAGATCTCACAGGGAGTCCAAATACGTTTTCTGACTCAAAGTTGAATTCCATGATGAAAACAAAGTTTTACAAGATAGAAATCCTGAATGGTTCTCCTCTTCAAACAACAACAAGGCTGGTTTACTACCAAAACTATTCTGAAATGCCTAGCCTATCTAGCATGAAAGACAGGAATATGGAATTTAAAATTGAAATAAAATTAAGAACACAAGAAGGTAAGTGACTAAATTAGCTTTGATTAAAATAATTACTAAAATAGCTAATTCCTGATTGCGGCATGGGACCCAGAGTATCAAATCTTCAAAGACAAGGTGAGAAAGAAATCTTCTCACTCGAGTTAAGTGAGGATTTCAAAGAAATTTGTCTGTCTGGAAGTTGGTGTCCCTCTGTATGCTTCTGACCATTAGCAAGTTTTTCCACGGGATCTTTCATTCAAATTATCACTATTGTCGTGTGAAAAAAATGTGGGTGGTGATTTGAAGTTTAAGTAGTGTTGGCTTTAGTTAAAAGAAAGCAAAATATTAAAGTTAATAAAAACCAGACTGACATACCAAGAAGGACTGGGGAAAGTTCCCAGGACTCACCTCTAGACACAGAGCTGTAGGCAATTGAGGGCTGCTGAGAGAGGAAGAATTAGTGTTTTCCAGGGATATTAAATCCCTGATCATTTATATAATTCCAAGTGGTCAGTCTTAAACAAATATACAAAATGATCAACACTAAACGGGAGCTTTATTTGTGTGTGAAGTGTGATTTGTGTGTGTGTGTGTGTGTGTGTGTGTGTGTGTGTGTGTGTGTGTGTGTATGTGTGTGTGTGTGTGTGTGTGTGTGTGTGTGTGTGTGTGTGAGAGAGAGAGAGAGAGAGAGAGAGAGAGAGAGAGAGAGAGAGAGAGAGAGAGAGAGAGAATAATAATTAAAGAGGAGGTCATGAATTTGAGAGGTCACAGGGAGAACATGGGAAGAGAGTTGCAGCAGGGAGGGAAGATGTGGGAATTATTCAAAAAGCAGTACTCATAAATGAAATTCTCAAAAATTATTTTCAAAAAAGCAAAATCCAGTATGTAATGACAGGGTTATAAAGACATGTACATACCTGAAAGAAATGTGTCAGGTCCAGAGAGAAAAGAAGTTATTAATAGTGTGGAAGCATACATAAGACAGTGGAAGAGCAGAATGAGGGAGGACGCGGCTCTTCCGAGTTCTGGGAAGAACAGCAGAGACACTGAAGAGATGATAGCTAAAGGCTCTTCAGACCTGGTAAGGCACATCCACATCTAGTCCCAGGGTTCCCAGTGTCTCCCCAAAACCATAAATGGTAGTTTCTGAAAACACAATAGAAATTTTACAGATAAAGGGGCAGTGAGACATTTAAGTGGTTAAAGGCCCACCCAAGCTGGTGACCTGAGTTTGAGTACAGAGACCCTAAGGTGGTTTGAATGAGATGTCCCCACATCTTTGAAGCGTTTGAACACTTGGTCCCAGTTGCCGGTGCTGTTTGAGGAGTCTTAGGGGCTGTGATCTTGCTGGAGGAAGTATGTTAATAGGGCCCCGCTTTGAGGTTTCAAAAACCACTCACCATTCCCAGTTAAAGCTTTCCATTTTATGTTGGTTTGGGATGTTAGCTCTCAGCTTCCAGTTCCAGGTTACATGTCTGCTGTGGGCTGTCTCCACCATCGCGATCCCTAACCCTCTGAAACCATAGACATAATGTAAACTCTCTTCTGTAAGTCACCTTGGTCACGGCGTTTTATCACAGCAATAGAAAAACAACTAATACAGACACACATGGTGGAAGGTGAGAACAGAGTTCTGAAAGCCGTCCTCTGACATCCACAGGCATGCCATGGCACATTCACACTCCTGACCCCATCCCTACCTCTCCTCATGCACACAAAAATAAATAAGAGTATAATAAAACTGTTCACAGGTGATTGAAGACAATGAGTAGATTAGCCATAGTTTCCATGATTTTCAGATAGAAAATGAACACTTCTTGCTTTTCTTTGTACCATTTTCTTTGGAATAGGAGGTCTGCATGAACATTGTTCCTGTAAGTCCCTTATGTTGTTGTTAGTGGAAATAGTGATACCTGCAGACATAACATTTTATTCTGGCTTCAGGGACATCTTAAAAATCCAGGACATGGGAATGTGTGTGTCTCTGTGTCAACATGTGTTTCTTGTGGTTTTTCTTTGTCTCCTTTTCTTCTGTTTTGTCCTATTCTGATTTGTTTGTTTTTGCTTATCTTATTTTATTATTATTCTTACTACGATTATTATTATTATTTATATGCCTTCTGTTTATTTTATAATGAGAAACAGGAAGGGGGTAGACTTGGTTGGGAGGGCAGGTAGGGAGGATCTTGGAGGAGTTGAAGGAGGGGAAACTGTAATCGAAATATAACATATGAAAAAAAATCTATTTTCAATAAAAGAAAAATAGAAAATAATAAATCCAGGACTTAACACACAGCAGACACCAAAACAGAGTAGCAAGTAATCATCCCCCATGCTGCTTCTCTTTGTGACCTTGTGATTTCTCAAGTTCTCAATCTTCAAGTGTTTGTGTACGTCTATTGTAATACCATAAACACCCCTGGGCTTGGATAGTTGATCTCTTAGCATAAACTGCCTTATATTTCTGCAGATTCAAATGATCATCATTTTATGAGCCAAAATTGGTAGTCAAATATTAAATAAGTAGAATAACCTTTACCTTATACCACTGTGCACACCCATAGGCACACACAGACAAATACACATATTTATATGTGTAAACATGTTAGCCCATATGTTCAAGTAATTAGGACTATTAGAATCAAAGAAACCATTATGGAAGGACCCCAGAAATACTGGAGGGCAAAGGGATCATATAACTGGAGTTCTAAGGGATAATATCCTGATGAATCAGCAAAGGTCAAAGATGGGACTAGGAAGTAAGAACGGCCATCAAGCTTATCCATCCCCACCCAGCAGGCTTGAAAAGCTACAAGAAAACATTCATGAAAGAAACTCCTCTTCTCCCTGCTTGTGAGAAAGGTGGGCAAGGCCACTTCATGATACAATTTAGTCTATACTAACTTCTTATCTTTACCTCTGTCGTCAACTGTCTTCCTGGTGGTGTCCCTGGCATTTACTGAAGCCTTCAGTGTCTGACTCATAAAACAGAAACCCGTGGGCATCTGGCATAGCTCTCCCCCTTGCTAGCTTGGTTTTCCGTCGTTCCTCCCTGTGGTCCACTCAGGGTCAGTCATCTACTTCCCAGGTCACATTCCGGGCTTTGTGTGCTCTGACATTTCACCTCTGAAACCCCAGCTCCAAAGTCCTGATCTTTGTGAGCAAAGCCTCACTCTTCCAGCTTTCTAACACTGTGACTTCCATACGATTATTCGTCACAGGCACCTGAGTTCTCTAGAGTCCGCATCTATGAACTCTTTTTGATGTTCATACATTCACAACTGAGTTTAGATCCTACCTTGCTGTGAGAATCTTGGATTCCACCTCTTAATTACATCAGTGGACACCCTTCTCTCCATCTCCATCAATACCACCCCAGTTTAACCAATGTTTCCATTACACAGAATACTTCAACAATATCAATATTCTGCTTTTACCGACCCTATGGTTTCAAACTTACTTTTCAATTCATTCTCTGCACAGCAACGAGAACGATCATTCAGTAATGTAGTATCTGACCAAACCATTCCTACTTTGAAAACAACTGACTTCTAACCTTAAAGATTTCCCATGAAATAAATGTATCTGCTTCCCTCACAGACTTCTTTCTTAACCTTTGCACCGTACATTACTCCCACATTTCAGGATGACTGGGTCACTCTGGGTTCATTCAGCGTGGCACATCTTCTCTCTCTCCTCTGACTTCTGCGCCTGTCAGCTCCTCCTCTCAGAGGAGTCTTGTTCTCCACCTTCCCCCATCAGTTCCCCAACCCTGAGCATCCTTTGTACTGATTTTGCAATCGCATCTCTCAGAAAGCTTTCCGTAACCTCCAGGTCTGGGTTACTCCCAAGATGCTTGGACTTGCACATCACTGTGCTGTACAGTATCTCACAACTGTCACTGTAGTCCTGGGCACCTCACTAGACTAAGATATGCAAAGACTGGGGCAGCAGCTGTTCAGAGCCTGAACCACAGCCACTATTCAATAAATAACTCAATGTTTAAAATTAATGAAAACGAGTTAGATGTGGATAAATTAAAGATTCATAGTCTCAAATTAGGATACTCATTATGAAACTAGGGTATTTATTCATGATGGAGCCTTATTCGCCATCCTAGAAAGTTATTAGAAAAGTATTTATAAAATTCATATAGAATTTTTATGTATATTACTTTAATTAAATATTTGAAAGGTACAAATTATATACTTTTAAAAAGTTATGCACATGTAATCTCTACTCTCTGTATTGAAAATTAATTTCCTGATTTCACATCAGCTTCTCTTTGAAGAGTTTCCTTCTTTTGTCTCAATGTAATGGAAGGTGACTTTCAGAGAGAGGGAACTGGCTTCTCTTAAATCCCCCATGACTTGGCCTGACAATGCACTAGAGCTTCTGTTAGTCTTCTAACATTTTCTGACAGACTCTCTGCCTTCAGCACAGCATTGGCTTTATATAAATGTAGTCTGTGCCACAGACTTGTTCTTCATAAAACCTCACTACCAAATTTCTCATGCCACAAATGTGTGAGTTGACTGAGAGCAGGGCTATTCATTCCTCTGCGGGTCTCTTCATAAAAGAGGAAGTGTCAGATGATGATAATTCTGTCTCCATCCAATGCCTAAAATTGCAGGCAAATTAGGGGAACATAAAAGTTAGCAAGAGACATGTAAGAATAGAAGAAAAACACTAGGCTTTCATAACTGATGGCACTTTGATAACACCATCCTTGAAGACCATTACACTAAATCCAGCTCCTTGCCGCTGAAGGGAAAGAAGTCCTGCTGCCCTGGCAGACAGATGTGGCTATTTGAAGAAAGTATACTCATGAAGGCCTTGCACTTTCACAACACAGGAGAGTTGGTGAGGCATATCTATGCTGGTAGCTTCAACCCTGGGGAGAATAACAATTAGAGGAATATGTGACACAAAATATAAGTTGCTGAGTCCAACTCCCAATATTCTGACCCATTAGGCAATTTTTTGTTCATTTTTCCTTTGTATTCTTGTTGCTATTGCTTTGAGATAAGGGCTTACAGCATAGCTCAGCCTGACCTTGAACTCATTGGAACCATTTCAGCATCTCAGGGCTTGGGATTATACACTGCTGTTAGACTTTTCCTGGGGAGATGTCAACACATGTCTATTTACCCCAGTAGAGCACTGAGGACAGACTGGATTCACCCAGGTCTAATACAGTGAAGCAATGGTTCACCAGGCTCCCTTACTGAAACATGCATGGGTGATTCAAAGAAGACAGCTACGTTACCAAAGTCCACCCAGGTACAGTGGCAACTCACAAAAGCTTGAGAAATAAGTTCAAATCTCTAGAATTCACATAAAAACCTGGATGTAACTGTGCTCACCTTTAACTCCAGCATGGTCTAAGGTGGAGACAGGAGGATGGCTGGGCTTTATAGCCCCCAGATTAGCTAGCTAGATTCAATCAAAGCCTTTCTCACAGGGATTAAAGTGGAGTGTGACAGAAGAGAACACCCAGCACTTTCAGTGACTTCTATGCACACATGTGGAAGCCCACACCTGTACACATGTGTATATACAAGGCACATATTGTACTCACACACATGCACACAACACATACACATATACACACATATACACAAGAAGACATTCTTTTACATGCACCTGTGTATTTACCTTTTGTTTTGGTCTTGATGCCTCCCTGTAGATCTGAGTTTTCAAGTTTGGAGGATTCTCAACACATAGAAAATTCCTTTGGATTCCTTTGTGCTTCTGGTCTGCTAGCAGCAGATCATCAGTTGTTATTATCTGAGAAGTCTGTCTTGTCTTTCTTTGTAAAAATGTACTCTTTCTGGAGACAAAATTCCAGTGGAAAGGATTTTCTTTCAGCATTATTAGGAATTTACTTTGTTGGCTCTCCTTGCCTTTAGTGTATTTAGTGAGAAATCAATCATCTTTGAAACACCATTTCCCTGTACATAATATTCTATCTCCTTCATCCCCAACTCACACACAAAATTCTCTGGCTTTCAAGATTTTCTTTTCTTAGTCATAATGTTATAATGTTTTATAATGTATACACTTATGGCTTCCTGTGTATTCATTTAGCTGAATTTCCTCTCACATTTTTAAACATGAGCTTGTTTTTCAGGAAATTTGAGAAATTCCATATATTTTCAGCATATTCTTTTTTCTATTTTCTTGCTCTTTGTCAGCTGAGAGACCACATAATATCTATATCAGACAGCCTGGTATCAGTCCTCAGATCTATGAAAGCCCGTACCTTATCTTTAATCATTTTCTTCTTCAAATCGCACTGCTGTATCTCACGTTCAACATTTTCTCCGTTTCCTTCCCCATGCCCACTTCTTGCACTCTTTCCTTTTTTCCCCTTCTTTCCCTTGCCTCCTCTCCATTCCTGTTCTCTTCTCTGCTTTGGTGGTTCTGGGCAACAAACCACTGGGCCTTGCAAATGGTTGGCAAGTATTCTACCACTGATCTATATCCCTAACCCTGGTTCAACTATGTCTTCATCATTTCCAATATACTCATAAACACATCACATGACACTGTTTAATTTCCAGCTCAAGAATTTACATTAGATCACCATATCTTGGCTCATATATCTGGCGGAAGCCTTCCATACCACCAGAAGCCAGGCCAATTCCCAGAAAACCTGGTAAGCCACCTCCCCTCCCTGCCCTGCCTGCATCCACCCAGCTTAACCCCAAGTGCCCCTCCTCTCCTTGTCACCTCATCCTGGCTCACACCTCCATGGGAGCGTTCCACCCATCAGAGGCCAGGCCAGCATACTGAACCCCAGAGACTAGGCGAACTCCCTGGAAACAAGGCAGAAACCTCCTACCTCACCAAAAGCCAAGGCAGGATCCTGAACCCCAGAGGATGCCCACCCATATCAGAAACCACACACACAGTCTCAAATTTGAACAGCAAACCCCTGCTGGACCAGAGGCCATCCATGCCATCAGAAATCCAGCCCCAAATGTGGGTAGAGACCCTCTACTCAATCACAGACAATGACAGCCAGGAGACCAGAGAAGAAACAGAAATCAAGGAAGAAAACACCCATTCAACAAGGGCAAACCCAGAAATTGGCACCTAGACGTATAATCACTCCAAATCCAAATTGTGTAAGAACACAAACAACAACAGCCAGGGCAATATGTCACCACCAGAGGCCCACCATCTTACTAGAGCAAGCTCTGAATATTCCGACACAGAAGAAGCATGAGAAAACAACCATAAAACCAATTTTATTATGATAGAGGTTCTTAAAGAGGAAATGAATAAATCCCTTAAAGAAATCAAGGAAAAGACAATCAAAACAACTGGAGGAAATCAATAAATCTCCTAAACAATGCCAATAACACCAAGAAAAAAAAGCAAACAAACAATTGAAGGAAATGAAAAATAACAGTTCAAGACCTGAAAATGGAAAGAGAAGCAATAAAGAAAACACAAACTGAGGGGTTCTGGAAATGGAAAATCTAGGTAAAGTGGCAGGAAGTGCAGATGCAAGCATCACCAACAGAATATAGGAAATGGAAGAGGGAATCTCAGGTGCTGAAGACATGATAGAAGAAATAGATACATAGATCAAAGAAAATGTTAAATCTAAAAAATTCCTAACACAAAATATCCAGGAAATCTGGGACACTATAAAAAGACCAAACATAAAGAATAATGGGAAAAGAAGAAGGAAAAAATTCCAACTCAAAGGCATAGAAAATATGTTCAGCAAAATCACAGAAAACAATTTTTCATAACCTAAAGAAAGAGATGCCTATAAAGGTACAAAAGCCTACAGAACACCAAATAGATTGGACCAGATTAGAAAGACCTCTCGTTGCATAATAAAATACTAAACACACAGAACAAAGAAAGAATATTAAAAGCTGCAAGAGAAAAGGGCCAAACAACATATAAAGACAGACCTATTAGAATTACACCTAATGGAGACTCTACTAAAAGTCATAAAGGTCAGGAGAGATGTTTTGCAGACTCTAAAAGACCACAATTGTGAGCTCAGACTGTTATATCCAGCAAAACTTTCAATCACCATAGGTGGAGAAAATTAAATATTCCATGATACAGTTAAATTTAAATAATATCTACCCACAAATTCAGCCCTACAGAAGGTATCAGAAGGAGAACTCCAACCCAAGGTTAACTATATCCACAAAAAAACATAGGCAATAATTGCACACCAGCATAATCCAAAGAAGGAAAACACACATGCACATTAATACCACCACCACCAACTGCTGTGGGATGTCTTTCTATGCTATGAATATGTGTTGCTCTGATTAGTTGATAAATAAAGCCATTTGGCCTATGGCAAGTCAGGTTATAGCTAGGCAGGAAATTGAAGAGAGAGACAGGAAGAAAAGCAGAGGGAAGAGATGTCATCTGGCCGTCCAGGGAGCAGCATGTAATGGCACACAGGTAAAGCAATGGAACATGTGGCAACATACAGATTAATAGAAATAGGCTGAGTTTAGTTATATGAGCTAGCTAGCAAGAGGCCTGCCATAACCCATACAATTTGTAAATAATATTAAGACTCTAAGTGATTATTTTATCAGCTGAGGGACACGGATAGAAAGATTCGTCCTGACCGCAAGGCCGGGCAGAACCAGAGAAACCTTTCAACTGCAAACAACTACAACAAAATGACAGAAAATAAAAATAATTTGTCATTGATATATCTCAAATCAATGGATTCAATTCCTCAATAAAAGATTAACAGAATGGATGCAAAAACAAGATTCATCCTTCTTCTGCATACAAGAAACACACCTCCAAGATAGACCTCAGAATAAAGCACTGGAAAAAGATTTTCTAAGCAAATGGCTCCAAGAATCAAGCTGGTGTAGCTATTATAATATCTAACAAAATAGACTTCAAACCATAATTAATAAAAAAAAAAATGGGGAAGGACACTTAATACTCATCAAAGGAAAAATCCACTGAAAATGACATCTTAAATCTCAACATCTATGCCCTAAACACAAGGGCAACCCCCCTCTTTTTTTTGTAAAGGAAACACCACTACAGCTAAAATCACACATTGACTCTCACACATTGATAGTGGGGGCCTTCAATACCCCACTCTCCCCAATGGACATGTCATCCAGACAAAATCTAAACAGAGAAATACTGGAGCTAACACACTTATGAAACACATGGATCTCACAGGTATCTACAGGACATTTCACCCAAATACAAAAGAATATACCTTCTTCTCAGCAACTCATGGAAATTTCTCTAAAATTGACCACATACTCCATCACAAAGCAAGTCTCAACAGATGCAAGAAAATTGAAATAATTCCCTACATCCTATTAGACCACCACTGATTAAATCTGGATTTCAACAATAACAGAAACAACAGAAAGCCTACCAACTCATGGAAACTAAACAACTTTTTACTGAATTACCAATGAGTCAAGGAAGAAATAAAAAACGAAATTTAAGACTTCCTAGAATTCAATAAAAATGAATGTACAATGCTGTGGGATGCTCTGTATGGCAAATGTGTTGCTGATTAGTCAATAAATAAAACACTGATTGGCCATTGGCTAGGCAGGAAGTGTAGGCGGGACAAGGAGGAGAAAAAACTGGGAAGTGGAAGGCTGAGTCAGAGAGACACTGCCAGCCGCCATGATGACAAACAGCATGTGAAGATGCTGGTAAGCCACGAGCCATGTGGCAAGGTACAGATGAATAGAAATGGATTAATTTAAGCTATAAGAACAGTTAGCAAGAAGTCTGCCACGGCCATACAGTTTGTAACCAATATAAGTCTCTGTGTTTACTTGGTCGGGTCTGAGCTGCTGTGGAACTGGCGGGTGACAGAGATTTGTCCTAACTGTGGGCCAGGCAGGAAAACATTAGCTACAAATGGCATCCAATGTGGTGGCAAGAGTTTCCACCTAAAAACTGAGAAAAAAGATTCTAAAACGGAGCTAAAAACAGTTCCTAATTGTTTCTCTCAAATGAGCGACAGCTGCCGGTTTGAGCTACTGGTGGGTTCCTAGCTGCGCACTCGACCTGCCATATGGCGGGAATGAGACCTCTGCAAGTGGCACATTAAGCTGCATGGTGGATTTAGACTTTGCTAGTACAAAACAAAAAAAAAAAAAAAAAAAGAGGTTTCTGGGCTACACGCTGCTTGGCTAAAAGCATAGACCCATGATAGCTCCCAGAGCTGGCAGTAAACCACCGCCATGTTGGGAAGCTGAGCTGGGTGGAGCCAGCAGCCACAGCTGCTGCAGCTTAAAGCAATAGATTCACAATAAGACAGATTCAGATGTAATAGTTTACAATGTGTGTAAAATATACATAGGCTTGAAAGAGACAAAAAAGGTGATATATACAGTTATAGAAACAAATACATAGTTTTAAAAATAAAGTCTTTAAAGAGACAGTAAAATTCACGGACTACTGCATGATCCTTAAATTTTCTTTGTGTCCCCATAAGATACAGCGCCCCCCTCCAGCAGGAAGTAGTAAGAGAAGCTACGCCCAAATTCCCAAATTATATGTAATTTTACTTTGTTAAGGTTAAAACCTTCCTTTTGGAAAAAAAAAATGGGGGAAGTGCTGTGGGATGTTCTGTATGGCAAATGTGTTGCTGATTAGTCAATAAATAAAACACTGATTGGCCATTGGCTAGGCAGGAAGTGTAGGCGGGGCAAGGAGGAGAAAAAACTGGGAAGTGGAAGGCTGAGTCAGAGAGACACTGCCAGCCGCCATGATGACAAACAGCATGTGAAGATGCTGGTAAGCCACGAGCCATGTGGCAAGGTACAGATGAATAGAAATGGA